GGGCCTATTGACTTAAAAAATCCGTTTAAAAGGGACGTCATTTAATTGCCACTGTGCAAGAGCAATGAGCGATTCCTCCGTAACCGAAGCCGCCAAGAGCGGCGGTGCTGGTGGCGGCAGTGGCACTGGAGGGGGGTCCGAGGCTTCTCGGATTGGAGAGGTGAAGCAGTGGCTAGTGCACGAGTTCGGTCAAGCCGGGAAGGAAGTGCCGCAATTCGAATACACCCCTCGATCCGTGGCTTATTTACACAACCTTGCCACTCTCTCCCAAGCCAAAACCCAAGCTTCCAAGATCCTTGCCTCCGATTTCCGCCTCAAAGCCTCCGAATACCGCTCTCAAGGTTTCTTTGTCATTTTACATCCGTATAGACCCAAAATCCCACTTTGAACTTTCGTCGATTTTGGGAAAAATAGGTTAAAGTAGGGCAGTTTTTTGTTGTTTGCAGCGGCGCGAATTAGGGAGATTTTGGAGAATGTAGGGCTTGCACAGGAGAGTTTAGCCTCGAATGTTGTTGGATCGGTTCAGGTCTTGGCGAATGTGGCGAATTTACTGAACATCAGAGATACAGAGCTAAGCAGGTGAGGATTTCGATAATGTTGTTTGGCTATTTCCTTTGGTGAATCTTGTTCTGTCTTTGTTGTGATTTGTTTGGATCTAGTTTTCTAGTTGCAATGGGAGATATTTCCTTGAGGAAGGCTAGTGTGGAGGAGAAGAGGGCCAAGGTGCAGAAAGAGTCCAAGGTTTTGTTGGATTACACGCGAAAAGCTATTGCAAGATTAACGTATTTGAAGAGGTAAAAAGTGTTTTCTCTTGGATTTGAAAGTGTACGTGTTATTATGCTAGTAAATTTCTTTCAAGAAATGCTAACATTTGCTCGGTCCTCTTTGTAAATTGTTTTCAATAGAACGCTTGCGCAATTAGAGGAAGATGTAGCTCCCTGTGAGGTGCAGATGGAGAATTGGAAGACGAACTTGGCTGTTATGGCTGCTAAGGAGAGACAATACATGCAACAGAGTGCCAATTACAAGGTACTGTTAATTTATCCTGGTGTTATTATTATTTAAAGTTGTTCAAGTTTTTAAAGGAGTATGTCAATTTAAATGTTTGTTTAACAAGCATTTACAAAGAGGAAAAATGTTCATAGATTAAGGGCATGTTTTACTAAATTGTAATGTGATGTAATTTAGAAAGGGAGAGATTTTGGAATTGATACCGTTTCTAGCAATTACGTACCTATTAGGAAGTGGAATGAGAAACAATTTGATTGGTGCGTTTTAGTGCTTGCTTACTTTAGAAGTATGAATAACAGTATATACTAAAATTTCTGTCCATATAATTATTTGCTAAAAGGTAGTAACAATGCAAAAGGAGTATTGTGATTTATCATTTATTGACCAGTTCAAAGAGAAACACAACAATGGAGTAAGTTGGGATTTGATTTCCCTTTCATGTTGGCCCTGATAAATTAGCAGCATTGAATTGTTGTTAAGAAACTGTATGAACAGATCTAAAAGTTAAACACTTCCTTTTCTTTCCCCTTTCATGACAAGTAAACAAAGGCCTAAAACAAATACATTGTGTAAATATAAGAGAATGCTGCGAGCACATAAATAGAAGGAGATAATTGATTAAAAATTGTTGCAGAACTTCAATTCTAGGGGGAAATGATGATGTCTGTGATACGTAGAGAACCTTTTAGTTG